CCCAAAACTATCACGTGATATCTAATGTCATTTCTATCACCAAAGTCATATTTTCTAGTCAGAGATCCTTCTTAGCTTCCAAGTTTCCCATTCCAATAACTAGTAATTATCAATGCATGTTGATGGTATGTTTGATCAATTTCAGACTGCAGATGCTGGTAAAAATCTTTAATACCTCCAGCTTTGGCATTAGTAGATGGTGCATAAATTTGAAATAATAGTCATATTAAGTGGTCTTCTTTGTTGTTGTTAAGCACCGTCGAGTCGGTTCCAACTCATAGCGACCCTGTATAGGATTTCCAAGGAGCAGCTGGTGAGCTTGAACCACTGACCTTGCAGTTCAAACCGACCTTGCATTCCAGTACATTAACTCGCAGCGCCACACAAGATGCATGGATATTATCCTATCACTGATAGTACTGTACTTTATTTATTATAGAACAAAAATGTTCTTTTTGACGATGAGTGTGATCTTTATGCATTCCATTTCATTTTTGACAACTTACGATTCTCCCAGATTCATATATTGTACATGTACATTCTGATATTAATGGATGTTTTCAGCTGTGTCTTTTCACTTTGAGTCATGCCTCATCAGCAAATCAAGGTCCTGTAAGCTTTACTCTAGCTGCACCAAGGTCGACTCTCTTTTGACCTCAACCCATGTTTGGTTGCAGTAGTACATCAACAGGGAGCTGCCAGAAACTCAGGTTCGATTCAGAAGGGATATCATTGGTGAAGACAGATGGCTAAAAGTAGAGAGTACTAGAATTATCAGAAAGATGTGTCTTGTGTTTTATTGACTATGCAAAGATATTCACCTGCATAGAGAATAACAAACAATGGATAGCATTACAAAGAATGGGAATTCCAGAACACTTAATTATTCTCCTGAGGAACCTGTAGATACTCCAAGAAGCAGTTATTCGAATACAGTAAGGGGATACTGAATGGTGTAAAATCAGGAAAAGTGTGCATTCAGAGTTGCATCCTTTCACCAAACTTCTTCAATCTGTATGCTGAGCAAATAATCTGAGAAACAGGGTTATATTGCATTCGGATTGGAAGAAGACTCATTAACAACCTGCAAGGTGCAGATGACACAACCCTGCTGCCAGAAGTGAAGAGGAATTGAAATCCTTACTGAAGAGGATCAAAGAGCACAGCTATCAGTATAGGTTGTACCTCAATGTAAAGAAAACAAAATTCCTCACTACTGGACCAATAAATAACATAATGATAAATGAAGGAAAGATTGAAGTTGTCAAAGACTTTACTGTGTTTGGATCTACAATCAGCACTCATGGATACAGCAGTCAATAAGTCAAACGATGTAATGCATATACAAATTTGCAACACAAAATTTTTTTAAGGTGTTCAAGAGCAAAGATGTCAGTGAGAGGATTAAGGGGCACCTGATCTAAGACATGGTATTTTCAATCGCCTCATAACGCATGTGAAAGTGAAACATTGAATAAGGAAGATTGTAGAAGGACCAATACAATTGAATTATACTGAAAGTATCATGGCCTGCCAAATGAACAAACAAATCTGTCTTGGACGAAGTACAGCCAGAATGCTTCTTAGAAGAGTGGGCACCAAGACTTTGCCAGTGCTTCTCTGAACATGCTGTTAGGAGGGACCAGTTCCTGGAGAAGGACATCACGCTTGATAAAGTGGAGGTTCAGTGAAAAAGAAGAAGCTCTTCAATGAGATGGACTGAAACAGTGTAAACAAAAATGGGTGCAGACACAGAAATTGTGAGGAGGGCAGAGGACCAGGTAGTATTGAATTCTGTCAGGCACAGGGTTGCTATGAGCAGCAAACAACTTGATGGCACATCAAACAATTGTTTTGAGGGGACATCTCTTCCCTAGTTGCAGTCTGAATGCCTTCTAACCTGAGGTGCCTATCTGCAAGCACTAAATCACACAATGTTTTTCTGCTACCCATAAGGTTTTCACAGACCAGTTTTTTCAGAGGTAGATCACTGAGACCTCCTTCCTAGTCTATCTTACTTAGTCTGGAAGCTCCTCTGATACCTGTCCACTATGGGGGGAGCCTGCTGGGATAGGCATAGCTCCTAGCATCTCAGCACCACACAAGCCACCACAGTAAAACAAACTGACAAGGACTGGTGGTTAGGGTAGTGGGGGAGGAGCAATTTAGAAAAGGAGAATGAGTGGATGTACAATGTGAGGGACTTAGCCAATGTCACTGAATTGTACATGTAGAAATTGTGACATTAGTGTATGTTTTGCTGTGTATATTGCTCAAAACAAATTATATAAAATGAAATCCTAAGGAATCCACACACCAAAAAAAAAACAAAAAAAACCTATCAGAACTAATAATTAAATTCAACAAAGTTGTAAAATACAAAGTAAAAAAAAAAACAAGAAATTAAGAAGACAATAGTATTTACAACAGTATTAAAAGATATAAAGTCCTTAGGATAAATTAAAAAATTACAAAACATCTCTGAAATAGAAATGAAAGAAGATCTAAATAAATGGAAAGACATCCCATGTTCCTGGGTTGGAAGACACTGTTAAGATGACAAAAAGACAAAAAAAACAACAACAAGAAAATGTTGCTGTTGAGTCAATTCAGACTCGGGACTGAGGAGAACTGCCCCATGGAGTGTGACACTGGACATGGGTTAACGCGCTGGACTACAAAGTTGGTTTGAACTGCAAGGTCGGTGGTTCAAGCTCACCAGCCACTTCTAGGAAACCCTATACAGTGTTGCTATGGTTTGGAATGGACTTGACAGATTTAACAATAGCAACAGTCCTGAGTGAAGCAGACTGCTACATCTTTCTCTCACAGAGTGGTTGGTGGGTTTTAAACACTGAACTTTTCCATTAGCAGTCAAACACTAAATAAAACACAGTGCAACCAGGGTCCCTCCTCGTATTGATCTATTAAATCAGCCCAATCTACATTGAAGTCCCAGTTGTCTCCTTTGCAGAAATTATAAGGCTGATCCTCAAATTTTATGGAAATTCAAGGAACTTAGAGTAGACAAAACAATTTTGAAAAGGAAAATAGACTCACACTTGCTGATTTCAAGACTAACTACAAAGCTATAATAATCAAGAAACTGTGGTACTGGCAGAAGGAGAGAGAGACATAGAGATCAACAGGGCAGAACTGAGATTCTGGAAATAAACTCTTATCTCTATGGTCAAATGATTTTTGACAAGGGTGCTAATGCAATTCAATGGCAGAAAGACTTAGCAATAAATGGTGCTAGAACAACTGACTATATCGACACTTCAAAGGATAAAGTTGGACCCCTTCTTCACAGTATACACAAAAATTACCTCACAATGAATCACAGCCCAAGTGCAGAAGCTTAGATTACAACACTCTTAGGCATAACTCTGCCTAAACTTGGAGTCAACATGGTTTCTTAGATGACATATTAAAACACAAGTGTCACAAGGACAAAAATTGGTAATTTGGACTCATTGAAACTTTGGTACTTCAAAGGATATCATCAAGAAGGTAAAAAGACAACTCACAGAATGGAAGAAAATATTTTCAAATCAAATGACAGGGGATTTATGTCTAATCTGGATGAAAACCTCCTATAACTCAACAATAAAAAGACAAATAATTCAATTTAAAAATAGAGGAAGGATTTAAATGGATATTTCTTCACAGAAGATAATACAACTGACCAATAAGCATATGAAAAGATGCTCAACACCATTAAGGAAATAATACACTAAGGAAACACAAATCAAACCACAATGAGATACTATTTCACACTTACTAAATAGAACGCCAATGCACAGTGACACTTCCCGAGGCTGTAGACCTGTAAGGGAGCAGACAGTTTCGTCTTTCTCCCATGGAGTGACCTTCCGATTAGCAGCCCACTGCCTAACTCACAGCTGACTCTAATAAAAATGAGGCCAGTAATTGGTGTTGGTGACGATGTACAGAAATCAGACCCCACGCAGTGTTAATGGGAAGGTAAAATGGAGCACAATTTGGACAACAGTCTAGCAGTTTTGTAAAAAGTTACGTAGAGTTTCCATCTGAGTGCAGAAAACTAGACACAAAAAAGCCTATAGATTGCATGATTCCCTTTATATTCAATATCCAGAACAGGTAAATCTATAAGACAGAAAGTAGATTGGTGGTTGTCAGGCACTGGGGAACACAGGACATGGAAATGGGGGATTGGAGGGCAATGACTAAGGGGTGTGGGGCTTCTTTTCGGGAATGTTGAAAAATTGATTATATCGATGGTTTCACAACTCTGTGAATGTACTAAAAACCACTGAATGAAACACTTTTAATGGGTGAACTGTATCATACATGAAGTATATCTTCATAAAGCTATTAAAACAAAGGAAGATGCTAGATCAAAGCCCTAAGGCCTCTTCTAACTCTGTTTAAGAAGCAGCAAGATTCCCTACTCACCTGAGGTTTGGAAGTCTATTTCAATTGGATTGGAGAGACTGGTTGCTGCTTCTCGCCACAGGCTGCCCCCGACAGGAGACCAGGCTGTCACCATGCAGCGGTAGAGTCCTGCATCTGAGACCTGCGTCTGGTACATTCGATAGCGAAATTCATCTTCCTGCACTTTCTCTAGCACGACACCATCCACCCGTGACACATCTGTCCAATTTTCCAGCTTTACCACGGAATCCTGGTCCAGGGAGATGATGTACTTGGTTTCATTGGAGCTGGAGAGGTCCCCCACAGGTTTCTCAGCCGTGATGAGAACAGAATACCGTGGCGATTTAATGTTCTTGGAAGACACTTTGCAAGTCATCTCAAATGTATTTCCTGCAGCAAAGAAAGGTTTTGGTTGCCTTGCCTTCACCACAAGCACAGAATCTGAAATGAAGTAGCAGAAGGAAGTGATTTCCAACAGGATTAGTTAAAATGCATATACATTTAAAAGCAAAATATCCATGAGATAGTAATGGATAGGTAATATGTCACAATAACTCATAATGAAATGTGGAAACTCAAAAAGAAAATCTTATGTATCTGTTGTTGTTATGTACTGTGGAGCTGAATCGGACTCATAGCAACCCTGCAACGCAGCAGAAAGCCTCATCTTTCTCCCAAGGAATCACTGGTAGTTTCAAACTGCTGACCATGAGATTAGCAGCCCGATTCGTAACTACTATGCTACCAGAGCTCCTTACGTATCTGTAAGCAGGCTGAAAAGACTTCATAGCGAATGCGAAGAGGGACTCCCTATGTGAGAAATCGGTTGTAATAATACTTACATCCCAAAGTTTTACCAAGAGTGAACTGGGAGAATCTGAGAAGCTACTGGAACCTCCAAGGATGCAAGGTAGAGCCCAACCAACCAAAAGGCAAACCCACTGCTCCTGAGGGGACACTATCAGACTCACACACAGTAGGACTGCTCCATCGGGTTTCCAAGACAGTAAATCTTTACACAAGCAGATTGATTACTACATCTTTCTTCCAAGGAGTGGCTGGTGGGTTTGAACTGCTAACCTGTCAGTTAGCAGCCACATTTTTAACCACTGTGTAACCAGGGCTCCTTAGGTAGAGTTCATTCTTTGTGAACTGGAATGACATGTTTAAATACAACAGCCAGGTCAAGGTCTTGGCGATGCCATTTGCTTTTACTCTTCTGAGGTTCTGTTGGATGCAGGGAAAGTATTCTTAGCTGCATTCGCCTGCCTGGAGCAGCAGAGTGAAGAAGAAATGGGCTCTCTGTTACTCACATGCTGGTAACATTATGGAACAGACTGATTACTACAAGAATTGATTCGTACGCATCTGTAAATCTCATCAGTTCCATTTAGCTTACACTTTAATGCCAGAGGGGCTATTTTAACATCTGAGCACGTGTCTATGGCTCTACTAACATTTTAAGTTTGTTATTCCCAACTTTTGTGTCAAAAAAAAGTTTCTTAAATCCATAATGTTGTACACTTGGAAGATAGTTCAATACCTGTCCAATGAATGAATAAATGAATTTGACACATTCTTTCTTATCCTTCAATAAATTGATTGATCCTAACACCTGTCCAGTTATATGATTTGTATGTTGGGGTTTTTTTTGAACACTTGGTTCTACCAAATCTACTAGCAGAACGCAAAACGTATTCTTTCTCTCCAGAATCACTGATTCCTGAGGCTCCGCTGAGCCACTCATCCACTTTCTTGATTCTCCTGAAGGTCCGACCATCCATTCACTAAGTAAATAATTATTTATTGAAAAATCTTCCATATGCCAGGCACTGAGATTATAATGGCAAACAGACCATACAGAAATTCCTGCATTTAAATGTAAGTGGAGAAAGGTAAATAAAACACATAAGGAAAATACATGATATGACTAGATGGTGATAGATGTTTAAAAGACAATGAAGAAATGAAGCAGGGTAGGAACCGAGGAGGCATGAGAGAGAGAGGCGGGGGGGCATTACAATTTTGGATAGGGTGGCCAGGGACAGTCTCATCTTATGACCACAACAACATCTGAATAAGGACCTGAAAAAAAAGAGGGAGCAAGCCCTGTATCCATCTGGAAGGAAAGCATTCTAGGTAGGGGAGAACAGCAAGTGGAAAGTCTCAGGGTTGGCGCATGCCTGGCAGATTTGAGGAAACATGGAAGGCAGAGTAGCAGAAGTGGGGTAGATGCTGGGCAGAAGGTAACGGGGATCAGTTGGTATAGGGTATTGTAGACCTATGAAAGGACTTTGGTTTTGTTCTAAGACGTGAAGCCTTCAAAGGATTGAAGTAGAGGAATTTAATGATATGACTTTCATTGAACAGGATTGCTCTAGCTACTGTTTACAAGGGCAAAAGCATGGTAACTAGAGATACAATCCAACCAAGTGATGATGGTGGCTTGAAGCCGTGAAATATGAGATGTAGTTAGATTTCAAATAAACTGTGAAGAATGAGGAGTCAAAGATGGCTTTAAGGATTTTGGTCTGAGTAACTCTGGAGCCATTAATTGTACTAGAGAAGGCTGAGAAAGAAGAACTTTGGCAGAAGGGACCAGAAGGCTCCATTTTGAACAGACGTTTGAGATGGCCAATAGAACCACCAAGAAAGTAACAGAATATCGAGTCTGGAGTTCAGAAAAGAGGGCTGGGCTGGAAGTATAAATTTAGGAGTTTCTGATGTATTGGTAGGAGTTCCTAGGTGGCACAAACAGCTATGCATTCAGTTACTAACCCAAAAGGTTGGCAGTTCAAATCCACCCAGAGGCACTTCAGAAGAAAAGCTTGATGGTTTATTTCCAAAAACTCAGTCACCGAACACCCTAGGCAGCACAGTACTACTCTGACACTCACAGGGTTGGTATGAGTTAGAATCAACTTTATGGAAAATAGAACTGGTGTATAAATGGTCTTTAATTTCATGAGATTAGAAGAGCTCCACACTGAGTTCAAAGTTTGAGTCATTCATTAAGTAGTTTACTCCTTAAGGGCAAGGAAAACAAAGAGGAACCAGCAAAGGTGGTAGAGAAGGAACAGCGTGTGAATCTAGAGAAACACCTGGAAGAGGGTAATGTTCCAAGAGCCAAGGGACAAAAGTGCTTCCAGGAGAAATAATCACTGTGTTAAATCCTGCTGAGCCAAGTAAGATCACTGACTACTGTATTTAGTAATGTTTTCATCATTGGCCATCTTAACAGATTGTTGTTGTTAGGTGCCGTTGAGTTGGCTCCAGCTCAGAGTGACCCTGAGCAGGGTTTGTGAGGAGCGACTGGTGGGTTTGACGCACCAACCTTGAGGTTAGCAATCCAGTGCTTATTATGCTACAGCGCTCCACCAGGACTCCGTAACAGGAGCAGTGGGGGCAAAAGCCTGTCTAGAGGAAGTATCAGTGAGATTGTGTGGAGACATCATGTACAGATATGTCACACACTTTAGCTATAAAAGTTCATAGAGTAATGGGTGGCAAGACAAATGTGCAGAACAAACAGATGGAGATAGACCAAAACTAATGGAGCTTTTTAAATTTAAGATAGGAGATCTAACAACGTATTTACACACTAATTGGGAAGATCCCGCAAAGAGAAATGTTGATGATGTGAGAGAGGACAGCATTGCTGGAACCGAGGGAAGGATAGGATTTTGCTAGGAGATAATGCTGGGTCATATGGATCCTGTGGCTGGGAAAGAATGGGAATTCTCTTCTGATTGCTTCTCAGAAGAACAGAAAGCAGGATCAGTAGCTGAGAGTGAGTCTGGGGAAAGAGATGCTTGATATGTGCAGGTAGACAAGGTATGAAAGTCTAGGGAGGGAGGGAGGGAGTAAATAGATTAAGAAAATACATAATGACTCCCAATCAGTATTGGGGTCCACCTGAGTGAGTTAATGATGAGTTAGTGTTTTCCTCCAACCACGTTTAGCTCTGCAGATGCAGGTAGGAAGGTGGCAGAAAGTTGGATTTGAACTGGGTTATGGTTTAGCCAATCAGTAAAATGCACACGAGAAGAACAAAGAAATTAGAGGGTGTGAGCAAGGCAGTGATTTTGGTTAACTTGGGACATAGGTCAGATAACTGTAGAGTGGCCACATGGCTTATTCACATTCTTCTGTGGATATATCTGAAAATGAAAGAGGGTGCTAGTGGTAATGATACCAAGACCACCCTAAGCCAAAACCAAGACCACTGTCACTGAGTTGACTGTGACTCAATGCAGTCCCACAGGACAGAGCAGAACTGTCCCTGTCCCACAGGGTTTCCAAGGCTGTAAATCTTTACAGAAGTAGACAGCCTCATCTTGTTTCTAGGGAGAAGCTGGTGAGTTTAAACCAACAATCTTGCAGTTAGTAGTCCAATGCTTATCCCACAGTGCCACCAGGGCGTCTTTATACTTTTAGTTAGGAGAACAGGTATACATTGGACTACCCTGGGCAAACAGTCAGTCTAGTGACATGACACAATGGGAGGAAAGAAAAAGTAAGGTGGGTGGGAGTCACAGATGGTGGACCCTGGCAGAACTGAAGAGCTGTTGGGAGAACGAGACAGAGTGATCTGGAAAGACCAAAGGTGTAAATATTTAGAGAAGAAAGCCAATTGCCATGAAGCCAATGTTGACTCGCGGCAACCCCCCATGTGTGTCATATTAGAATTGTGCTCCATTGGGTTTCCACTGGGTAATTTTTCAGAAATAAACCAGGCATTTCTTCCAAGGTGCCTCTGGGTAGACTGAGACCTCCAACCTCTCAGTTAGCAGCCAAGTGTGCTGTTTGCACCACCTAGGGACTCCATACTTAAAGTGCTTGAATTTGAGATTATGCAGATTTTCGTCACTGGTCACAAGTGAGCTGGTCCAGTGTAGGGTAGAAGTTTGGGTAGAAATGACCAAAAGTGGATGGAAGGTACAACGACTGGAGAGGGGAAGGCAGATGTATGACAATGGATTTGTTATAGATTGAATGATGTTCCCCACAGATATGTATCGACTGGGTCAGGCCATGATGCTCAGTTAATATAACTATCCTCCATTTTGTGATCTGGTATCATTATCCTGTATGTTGTAGACCCTCACACCTCTGTGTTGTTAATGAGGTGGGATAACTGGCAGTTATGTGAATAGGGCAGGATGCAGTTTACAGGTTGAATCTTGAGTACATCTTTTTCAGTCTTACCTACCACCAAGAAACAGCTCTGGTAGCACAGTGGTTACGAGTTGGGCTGCTAATCTCACGGTCAACATTGAGAAATTACCAGCAGTTCCTGGGAGAAAGATAAAGCTTTCTCCTCCCATAAAAATTTACAGCCTCAGTAACCCTATGCAGGGTTGCTATGAGTCAGAATCTACTCCATAGTACATAACCACCACCATCAAGAAAATAGAGCCAGGAGGGAACCTCCTAAATTCAGGGAAAGACTGATGCTAGGACCCATGATGTCTCACAGATGGTGAAAGGAGACAAGGACCTTCCCCCAGAGTCGACACAGAGAGAGTAAGTCTCTCCTAGAGAGCTACTGTCCTGAATTCAGACTTCTACTCTCCTAATCTGTGAGAAAATAAATTTCTGTTTGTTACAGTCATCCATTGTGGCGCTCAACCTTGACTGCACATCAGGATCACCTGAGAGCATTTAAAAACTTCCATTGTTCCCACTGCTCATACTTCAGACCAATTAAACCAGAATCTCTGGGTGGAACCCAAGCATTAGTATTGTTGGGAAACTCCTTAGGTGAGCCAGATGTGCAGCCAGGGTGAAAACCAGTACCCGATGTGGATTTTATGTATTGGAGACAGTGGCCATGAAACACAGCTAAGGTCTTCAAAGAATGGAGGGGGAAAACAAAGCACTGACAGGTGATGGTACTGAGAGGAAGCAGTATGGCCTGAGATGCACAGATGGGCCTTTTTAGGGAAGCGGGAAAATGGTATCGAAGGCGCCGTCACAGGCACCTCCCTCACGGTGAGGCCAGTTTTACTGTATCAGAGAAGAACGGGTCCACAGAGCTTTTAGAAGTAGATTGCCAGACTTTCTTCTGAGGAACCTCTGGATGTACTTGAATCTTCAACTTTTTGGTTAGTTGTTCGTGTTAAGTGCCACTGTTAAAAGTTGGTTCTGACTCATAAGCAACCTTGTATAGGGTTTCCTGTGAGCGGCTGTTGATTTTGAACTGCCAACCTTGAGATTAGCAGTCCAGTGCTTATCCAACAACACCACACAATGAAGCTTCATTGTTTGTATCACCTAGGGATGAGGGGTGTGAGAAGAAAAATGTCTCCATTTAGGAGGGCTTTAAGGGAAACAATGGAGCCTGGTATGGCAATACAGGATAATCACTACACTGCTTTGCTAACTGCCAAATGACTGTTCAAATCTACCAGTTCCTTGGAAACTCCACAGGGTTGCTGTGAGTCGGAACCATCTCATTGGCACTTCACAACAACAATAAAGGAAACAATGCCCTCCGGGGAGAGTGAAGCCAGTAATTAATTTTTCAGGTGAGAAAGAGAAGTAGCATTCAGAGACGAGGCTCAGGAAAGCAAGTGTACTGATGACAGTGTTCTGGAGGAACCTAAGTAGCGCTTGGGAAAGAAGAAGGGGCGAAAGTTGAGTCCAAAGAGGCAGGCAGAAGGCCATAGAATGATGAACGTTTAAGACATGAAGGACTCAGAAAGCCTGGGCTTCCTGAGATGATGGACAAGGACAGGACAGAAGACTTAATGAGGTTACCCTGGTGTCCCAAGGTGGACAGTGCTCTGAGCATTTAAGAATAGATGCAGCAAACATAGCCTGCCATCCCTTAAGTTCTTGTCACCTCACTCTAGAAATGAATCTCTCCAAAGATGCCTAGACCCTCAGGGGCAGAAGTAATGGCTCTGTGGACATCCATTTGGCTATGTGGCACCTCGGAAGTGTCTGCATTCCAGTGGGTACTCAAGGGGACTGACAACCAAAGGCTTTGCCTAAGACACCTAGTGGAGCTACAATAAGGTACCAATGGCATGCTCTGTGCAGTGTTGCGGCCATACCTGTAGAAGGCCTGCAAGGCAGTTTTAGGGGAAAAGTGCACATATAAAAGGTCCACACAGAAAATAACCCCACTGCAATACATGCATATATTGGCAACTCCTACCCCTAATTAGTTGGGAGCTCTGGTAGCGTAGTGGTTACGAATTGGGCTGCGAACAGCAAGGTCAGCAGTTTGAAACTACCAGGTGCTCCATGGGAGAAAGAGGAGGCATTCTGCTCCCGTGCAGGGTCGCTATGAGTTGGAACTGACTCCATGGCCCACAGCCACCAACCCTGATTAGTAGAGTGGTTTCTCCTGTGTGAGCTTTCTTCGTGTGAGTTTTCTGATTACATGGCAACCCTCCACCACCAGTCGAATCCTAGCTCTCTCACTAGAACACAAACAACTCACATACTTCCTTCCAGCATCACTATTTTCCATTTTAAAGTTCTGGTAGTGTACTGGTTATGAGTCAGGCTGCTAACCTCAAGGTCAGCAGTTCAAAACTAACAGCTGTTTCGTAGGAGAAAGATGAGGCTTTCTGCTCTCGTAAAGATTTATAGCCTCTGAAACTCTATACTGGGTAGCTATGAGTCGGAACCAACTCCATGGCACATACCCACCATCACCACTATACAGCAAAAGCAGCAGTCACTATACCCCACTTTTGAGAATGCATTTCTTAGACTTTTAGTGAATATGGTAACTTACATTTTAAAACATACATTGTGGTGACTTTAGCCAATATAAAGAAAAGTAAGGATACTGAACAAGAATGAAGCTCCTACCTTCTGATGCCCAGAAGATGTTGACAGGCCTGGAGACAACATCCTTGCTTTTTACCCAGCTGTTATTCCGCTGTTGGGTCCAGGCAGTCACAATACAGTAATAATTGCCTCTGTCTTCCTCTGTAGTCCTTTGGATTTGGAGACTGAATGTGTCCACATGCTCCTTAGAAAAAATAAGCTCTCCATTCTGAGCCCGCTGCTTGCTTCTCTCTCCGTATTTCAGGGTCCAGTCCCCATTCATGACAGCGAGAAGCTCACTCGTGGCCACGTCATCACTGCGTCGGGTCATCCTGTAGTACCATGAAACAGTGAAGCGGACATTTGCCTCCAAGCGCTTCATGTCCACTATCCGGCATTCCAGCTTGGTGGGGTCATCGGAAAACTCGGGGACCTTAGAAGCATTCAGATACACTTGGTAGTCTAGTTCTAAACAAGGGAGAGAGGAGAAAAAAAGGCAGACAGAGCAATGAACCAGGAGTTAGCAAAAGGAAACAAAAGTACTCTTTCTGACATTTAAAATGAGTCTTTGGGAGGATCCTTTTGCAAAACTTGCAAAACACTCTCCCACTAAAACCTCCCTACTCCCCACCCGCACCCACAAGAAAACCTTCCAAGACCGAAATCCAATGCTTCCTCATTATAAGTCTCAGGGTTGTGATCTTTCCAGAGAAAGGGTCTGCCATCAACTTCCTTAGAAGGCTGGAGTCTTTTAAGAAGGACTTCTTAAGACATTCAGGGTCCATGCTTTACCAGGATTGTCCCTGGAATGCCAAGTAGTGTCCACAGGATGCCAAAGTTCCTGCTGGAGCAGCACTGGATAGTTCACAAACAGTTAACATGCTGCTTGGCTGCTTAATCAAGCTTGGAGATTTGAGACCATTCAGAGATACCTCAGAACAAAGGTCTGGTAATCTGTTTCTGAAATATCACCACCCATTGAACCCTCCACCAATCGCCTGTCAGTCTGTTGTACTACAGTGGCTTGCATGTTGCTGTGATGCTTGAAGTTATGCCACCAGTATTTGAAATACCAGCACGGACAGCTCTGTTAGACAGGGTTCAGTAGAGCTTCCAGACTAAGATACACTAGGAAGACAGAGAGACTGAATACTTCAGAATGGTTAGTCACTGAAACCTTATGAATAACAGCAGAACATTGTCAGATATAGTGTCAAAAGATGAAAATTTGATGAAAAGCACCAGAATATTATCAGATATAGTGCTAGTTGACAAGCCCCTCAGGTTGGAAAGCAGTCAAAATATGACTGGGGAAGAGCTGCCTTTCAACGTAGAGTTGACCATGATGACATGAATGGAGTAAAGCCTTCAGGACTTGAAGAGGCACAACTCAAAATGAGGTGAAAAAACTGCAAATGTCCATTAATAATTGGAACATGGAATGTGTGATACAAGAATCTAGGGAAATTGGAAGTTGTTAAAAACGAAATAGAATGCATAAAGATTAATTAATATCCTAGGCATTACTGAGCAGAAATGGACTGGTATTGGCCAGTTTGAATCTGATAGTCATATGGTTTACTATGCCAGGAATGAAAAAATTCAAGACGAAAGGTATAGCATTAATCATCAAAAATAACATTTTAAAGATTATCTTGAAGTACAACATTGTCTGTGAAATGACATTATGCATAGGCCTACAAGGAAGACTAGTTAATACCAACCACTATTTTTCAAATGTACACACTAAAGTCAGTGATGATGAAACTGAAGACGTCTACAAATTTCTTCAGTCTGAAATTCGTCACACATGCAATCAAGATGTATTGATAATTACTGGTGATTGGAATGTGAAGGTTGGAAAAAAACAGGAAGGTTCAGTAGTTGGAAAATAAGGCCTTGTGATAGAAACGATGCTGGAGATCGTGTGGTAGAATTCTGCAAGATCAAAGACTTAATCACTGCAAATACCGTTTCTTAAACAACATATAAGGTGACTATAAACATGGGCCTCACCAGATGGAATATACAGGAATCAAACTGACTATTATCTGTGAGAAGAGATGGTAGAAATGCTGAATATCATTTGTCAAAACAAGATCAGGGGCAGACTGCAGAGCGGACCATCAATTTGCTCATATGCAAGTTCAGGCTGAAGCTGAAGAAACTGAAAATAAGTCCATGAGAGTCAAAATATGACCTTAAATATATCCCACCTAAATTTAGACACGATCTCAAGAACAAATTTCATGCACTAGACACTAATGAACAAAGAACAGAAGAGCTGTGGATGACATCAAGACCATCATACCGGAAGAAAGCAAAAGGTCATTAAAAAGACAGGAAAGAACGAAAAGACCAAAATGGATGTCAGAAGAGACTCTGAAACTTGCTCTCTAGCATAGAGATACTAAAGTGAATGGCACAGATGAGAAGGTGAAAGAGCTGAGCAGAAAATTTCAAATGGTAGATCTAGAAGACAAAGTCATGTATTAAAATGAAATGTGCTAAGTAAGACCTAGAGTTAGAAAACCAAAAGGGAAGAACCTGTTCAGCATTTCTCAAGCTGAACTGAAGAAAATATTCAAGACTACACGTGAGATATTGCAAGATTCCATGGACAAAATATTTGAATAATGAAGAAAGCATCAAAAGAAGATGGAACATACACACAGAGTCACTGTAGCAAAAAAAAAAAAGTTTGACGTTCGAACATATGATCAAGAACTGACAGTACAGAAGGAAGAAGTCTAAGCTGCACTGAAGACTTAAGGTTTTGGAAAAAACAATGCTCATGAATTGACAGAAAACACATCGAAATCGTTCAATAAACAGATGATGCACTGGAAATGCTCACTCATTCATACCAAGAATGTGGAAGACAGACAGCTACTTAGCCAACTGATTGGAAAATACCCATTTCTGTGCCCATTCCAAAGAGAAATGACTCAACAGACTGTGGAAATCTTCAAACAAAGCATTAATATTATATGCAAGTAAAATATTGCTAAAGATAATTAAAAAATGGCTACAACAATGCATCACCAGAAATTCAAGTCAGATTTAGAAGAGGACTTGGAATGAGGGATATCATTGCTGACGTCAGAAGGATCTTGGTTGAAAGCAGAGAATGTCAAACAGATGCTTACCTGTGTTTTATTATGTAAAGGCTTTTGCCTGTGTGGATTATGAGAAGCTATGGACAACATGGTGAAGAATGGTTATTCCAACACTAACTTGTGCTCATGAGGGACCTGTATATAGACCAAGAGGCAGTTGTTTGAACAGAACAAGGAGATACTGAATGTTTTTTTTAAATCAGGAAAGGTGTGAGCCACGGCTGTATTATTTCACCATTCTTATGTGGGCACTGTGGGTTAATGTGCTGGACTGCAAAATGTGTTTGAATCGCAAGGTCAGCAGTTCTAGCTCACCAGTTGCTCCTCAGAAACCCTGTACACGGTCGCTATGAGCAGGAACTGACTCGAAGGCACTAAACAACAATACTCAATCTGAATGCTGAGCAAATAATCAGAGAAACTGGATTTTATGAAAAAGAATATGGAATTAGGATTGAAGGAAGACTCATCAAAAACCTGCAGTATGTAGATGATACAACCTTGCCTGCTGAAAGTGAAGTGGACTTAAAGCACATACAGATGAAGATCAGTATGGATTGTACCTCAATGTAAAGAATACAAAAATCCTCACAACTAGACCAATAAATAACATCATGATAAATGGAGAAAAGATTGAAGTTATCAAAGACTTCATTTTACTTAAATCTGCTATCAACACTCATGGAAGCTGCAGTCAAGAAGTCAAACCGCACAAAACGTTACTGAAAGTGTTCAAAGAGCAGACACCCATTTGAGGACTAACGTGCACCTGACCCAAGCCACATTATTTCAATAGCCTCATGAATGTGAAAGTTGGACAATGAGTAAGAATTGAAGCATTTTGAGTTATGGCAGGTATTGGACAAAAATATTGAAAGTATCATGGACTTCCAGAAGAACAAACAAATCTGTGCTTGAAGAAGCACAGCCAGAATATTCCGCAGTGAGACTTCATCGTTCTTACTTTGTACATATTATCAGGAAGAACCAATCCCTGAAGAACGACTTGGTAAAGTGGAGGGTCAGCAAAATAGAGGAAGACCCCCAACGAGACGCATTAGCACAGTGACATCAGCAATGGTGGTGGCTGTGTGCCATGGAGTCGGTTCCGACTCATAGCGCCCCTGTACAGGGTTTCTGAGGCTGTAAATCTTTATAGGAGCAGAACGCCTCATCTTTCTCCTGCAGAACAGCTGGTAGTTTCGAACTGCTGACATTGCGGTTCACAGCCTGATTCGTAACCACTATGCTACCAGAGCTCTTTGACATCAGCAAAAGGCTCAAGTATAACAACAATTGTGAGGATGGCACAGGACTGGGCAGGGTTTCATTCTGTGGGGCATAGTGTTGCTATGAGTCAGAACTGACTTGACAGTACCGTTTAACAACAGCAACAAACTGAAAACTTTATGTAACACATATCTACTCTGAAACATACAGGGTTCACCATGAATGAAAGCTGATTCATAGGCAACCGGTTTTAGTTTTAGAGTTCATTCTAGAACTTAAGCTAATCAATCCCACCATGGCCTCGGTTCCTGTCATCTCAGTCAGGCCCAAACGGCAAGGCCCTCAGGTCATTATTTCTTTCCGCTGTGTGTTCTCATCCTCAGCAACTGTCCCTCTTGACATTCCCTCTGTGCTTTCCAAATCAGTGTCTGATGTTGTTAAGTGTCATCATGTTGGTTCTGACACATAGTGATCCCGTATAGGGTTTCTGAGGAATGGTTGATGGATCTGAACTGCTGACCTTGCAGTCAGCAGTCCTGTGTTTATCCTACAATGCCACACCAGGACTCCTGGGTGTTTACTGACACATAAACAACCCCATCTTCAAACTCTCGAGATGTCACTCTTTCCATAGGCACATGCAACACAATGGTACTAACCCGCTAACTTTGAACCTCTTTCACTCTGAATGGCTCTATTAAGTCTTATTCACTCAAGAACAGTGGGTTCCTCGCCCGGCACCAATTCTGATGGTGTTCTCCCCTTTGTCACTGTTATACACCTGCTTGTTTCCATTTGAATAAAATCCCTTCCTTCCTCTGAGGTTTCATCAATTTCTACAATTGCACATTTCTGCCCTCAATGACCCTAAGGTCTTCCTCCACATTTGCCATAGAACTGTCATCAGAACCCCTTGGTAGCCTCGTTTCCTCTACCATGATCTCTACACATTGCACCTAGATATCTGCATTCTCCAGGCTCAAGAGTCTCACACCACTATGGTGACCAGCTTGCAATCACCCTTCTCTTCTTGGTTGACTGGCCAACCCCAATCATTCTTTGCACAGCCTCCCAAAATCCCCAGCATGAGCATAGGTACTGTGTAGCAGCAGTTATCAT